TTCTCCTTCTCCTTCTCCTTCTCCTTCTCCTTCTCCTTCTCCTTCTCCTTCTCCTTCTCCTTCTCCTTCTCCTTCTCCTTCTCCTTCTCCTTCTCCTTCTTCTTCTTCCTCTTCTTCTGTTTTACTTTTGCCCTTACAATCTCCTTCTGATGGCACTTTCTATAAAAAATAACCAGTCATACAGGTTTTTCAGTGGTAGCCAAACTCGCTTAAAACATTACAGAATGGGGCTTCTGGGCTGGAGGTGGCATAAAGTTCACCAGTGAGTCAGGCTGATAGGCGGGATGTTTCCATGTGCGTGCTTCCAGGTATCTATCTTTGTCCAACAGTTCCACGTCCATTGGCCCACGGAGGCATGGACACTCAGGACATGGCCCAAATGCTTTCTGCTCCCCTGGCTGAACAGTGAGCTAATTTAAACCGGTAACGTCCGGGTAAACAGTGGCTTCAACTTGGGGGACATCTTTTTATCCAGGGTGTGAGCCAATGCAGAAAATAGTGGTCTTTAAGAAATTGTTTTTATAAATGCAATGTCCATTTGTTCTGAGTACAATCATTTGAGAGTTTTTCTCCTTGCTTGAAGCTTGGATCGGAACAATGTAATCCGTACTACACGTTGGTTCTCTTGAGTGACCTAAAATAACTGCTAACATGAGTAAATAAGTAGATATAAATAAGATTAATGCCTGTACATGTTAATGACAACATCTAAGTCTTCTTATGGCTTATAAAAAGATAATATATTTTAGCCTTTGAAATTTTAATTTTAATTTTTATATATTTTGTAAATTGTTAATATCTAAAAGGATTAGGATTACTTTCTTAAGTTATCTGAAAGTAAAATTTCTAATATATAGCTTTGTACTAATAAAAATTCTAACTAGTTGCCCTCATTGGCTATAATTAAAAGGTTAAATTTTCTATGTCTAAAGCAATACCAGTTTCTTAAGACATTAAAACATTCACAGTTAAACTTACAAAAGCTAGATAAAAAACAAAGCTTTCATGTTTTACTGAGATAATTTCTAATATTTTCCAATGTTAGGTTTTGAGTCACTTTTTTAAAAACTGAATTTTAAAAGTTAGAGTTATTTTAAGTGTTAACTTGTAAAGTGTTTTTAATAATCAGTTTGTGATTGGTTAAATGCTTATCAACTTAGCTTATAAAATACCCTGTATCTACATTTATATCCACTTAAAGACAAAATAGGCTACAAAACTAAGCTCTAAAGCTAAGTTTAGTACATGCAAAGTAATAATAAGTGCTTTCTCTTTTTTGGATACTGGGGATCGAACTCGGGACCTTTCGCTGGCGAGGCAGGCGGCAGAACCACTGAGCTAAATCCTGGTCCAACAAGTGCTTTCTTACACAATATACCTTGCATCCTAACCTCGGTCATATGAAAGAATCACAGATTTTGACATCTCTTTAAATTTCCTCCTGCCAATTACAACTTGATCTGCCTCTATGGTCCTTAACCAAGCAGGCATTATTCATGCTATAAATGAGATACACTTCCATATTGGGTATCAGTCTATTGGTGGTCAGTAACAATGTTTCCTAAACTTGTAGGAAGTCTGAAGATATTTTAAAAACTCTTACCAATAAAGTTACACCCGGTAAAACTGTTAAGGACTATGCAGCCGGATGCTAGTCTTTGGTCATCTCTCGATAAGTTAAATATATTTCCCAAGTGTACAGTTGCAGAATTAAAATAATAATAATAATAATAATAATAATTGAATCTGCTGATGACCTCCAGATGGAAGTTGTTTGTGGTGACAGACTTTTCAGGCTTACATGTACGTGACTGTGAGGTAATTTTGTTACAATCTTTAGATAATATTGTAAACAATATGCAGCCCAGAAAATGTCACCCTAAAAATTAAAGATTGGGCAATAGTGATCAATAAAGTCCATCTATAAACAAATATTTTCTGTTTACCCTATATATATATTTTTAGGGGGGTACCAGGGATCAGACTCAGGACCTTCCACTTGCAAGGCAGGCGCAGAGCCACTGAGCTAAATCCCTAGCCCCGTCAATATATATTTTTAAAGTAGCAAATCTAGAGGAGTTTATTTAGGTCCCTTCATATTTTATAATTGAAAAAAGGTCACCAATTAAAAAGTCATTTTATACTGAAATGGGAACTGGAATGTATTCTCAGAGATTTAAAAACCTAATGGTTCTACTATAATAACGTCATCACAGTTGGTCTGCTAACCTGTAATGTGTGCTTGTAAACTTAAATTTCTTCTTATGAAATCTCACGGCTGTTCTCTGATAGGAGACTGCAGAAATAGGACCACTGAAAAACAACTTCAGCACTGACAGGATTCCTGGAAAGCGACCCCGAGGGCCAGGACTCTGGGAGACCGTGGTTAACCTAAGAAGTAGCTGTTCTCTAGTCAGATCTCCTGTTTTCAAAATACCAAAGCTACGGGACAGATGATCATAGTTCGGAGTGAAGCCTGCCATTCCCGCTCCCGGACTGGCTCGACTGAGCTTGTAGGTGTTCACCAACCAAGGATTGAAGACCGAGGCAGAAATGACGCCCAGGCTGACAGGCCAGCGGGTACTGGAGGAGCCAAGCTCATCTTGACAAACACAAACATTCATCCTCACCCACAAGGCATGGTCACCTTGAGTAGGTGTGGCTGTAAAATAAAAATGAGTATATAGGGCCGGGGATGTAGCTCAGTGGTGCTGCACCTGCCTTGCAAGCACAAGAGCCTGTGTTCAATTCCCACTACCACAAAAAAAATTTTTTAATTAAAAAATTAAAAAAATGACTATATAAAGAATCTAGCTCCTGCGCTTTGTTATCTTTCTAACAGATATAAATGAACTTTCTGTTATCTACAGGGGACTCTTGACTTACAAACGCAATCTGTTCCCAAAGGCTGGTTGTCACTCAAGTCGGTCAGTGGAGGCTCAGCCCCTCCACAGCCTTCAGAGCCTCTCTGCTGCCCCCAGGCAGAGCTCAGGGTCCTGAGAGAGACCCTGGCCCGGGATTTCTCAGTGAACCCCACACGGGAGAGGACGCTGTCCTGTTCCTTTCAGAGCTCTTTAGGGTTCCGTCTGCACCTGAGCCCATCTGGGAGCACGAGAGGCCGGCATTCCGGTCGTAACTCAAGACTTTGGTCGTAAGTCAAACTAAAATTCTGGCCATAATCCAAGTTGTTCATATGTCAGGCCGGTCATAACTCAAAACTTAGGAGTTTTTATGTTTATATTATCTAGAGCTAATCATTACAAAAGGTCTTCAGGCCTACAAAATAGAGCCCTATAATAAAAATGCCAATGGCAATTGTCAATAAAAGATAGATACATTCATTTAGGACATTTGTTCGCCGTTGTCATAATTAAAATAAGAGGATGTTAGCTTCCTCATAAGCAAGCAGACAGGAGTCTGCCTGCTCCTAAAAGCTACCGTGATGTTTGGGGAAACAGCTCATAGGTGACAGAGGAAAATATTAAAGATAAAAGGCTTATGCCAAGTGTGACGGACTCCTAGTATTTTTAGAGCTATTATTCATCAGGATTCTGCTGTTGGTTTTGGCCCTAGCCTGCTAACAGGGTTCTACGTGGGCCGGGAGGGGTGGCACAGGCCTGTGAGCCCAGCACTCAGGAGGCTGAGGCAGGAGGATTGCTGCTGCAATAAGTCTGCAGGGTCACTGACTTGCTGACGTCTCCGACGTCTCCTCCGGATGATGAACACTCGCTTGTTCGCAGAACAGCAAAACCTGTCTCCTTCAGATCCGTGAGACTCTTCCACCTAGGCCGTACTCGGGCCTCATGTGTGGCAGGAAGCCAGAAAGTCCTGCCTTCCACACCCTCGTGAGAACGAGGAATGCAGGTCTCAGAGAGGAAAACGAGGCAGGGTAAAAGATTGGAAAAACAAAAAGACAAGGGAATCACAACTCAAAATTGTAGTTTCGGGAAAACTGCAAATTTGGGCAATCCGTGCAATTCACCCACGGTAGTGTTTTAGCTGAAATTTAGGCTCCGTCACTTCCAGACCTGAAATTCCTGGGGGACTCTGAAAGGTCATAAATCTGCTTCACTGGGGAAGAAAGAGCGTCAACCTCATGCCCAGATAAAGGTGGAAGCTGGAATCCCAAGAATGCTTAAATTACCCTTTGGAGAAGCAGATAGCTTTGCTAGCATTCTCTCTCTCTCCCTCTCTCTCTCTCTCTCTCTCTCTCTCTCTCTCTCTCTGTCTCTCTCTCTCTCTGTCTCTCTCTCTCTCTCCTTCTTTGAGTCCAGGCCTATTCATCCTATTCATTCCCCCCCAACAACCCTTTCCCGTGCCTCTGTAAATTCTTATTTTCACAGCAGCTTCACCAAGCCTGCAAACCGATTCTACAAAACACTGGGTTAGGTTTCCTATCTGGGCTTGGGGACCTGCTGAGTGGTTTCCTGGCTTTCTCTCTTTTACTTTATTTATTTTTGCAATGCTGGGGAAGGAACCCGGGCTTTGTGCATGCCAGGCGAGCTCTCTGCCATGCTGCCCGGTTTTTATTTTTAAAGCAACTACCAGGAAAAAAGAAAAGGCTACTCAAAGGGTGCTCAGAAGCCACTCAGGAGGGGTTCTGAGGGCAAAGCCAGCAGCCGGCCACGTGGCTGCATCAGGAGGGTCTGAGGTGGTTCATCCCCTGCTGAGCACCCGCCTGCAGCAGAGCAGGAAGCCTTGAGTGAACAGAGACCCGGGACCTCCCCATCCGCCCGACAACCTAATTTGGCTCGCCTGGGGTTTGGGGCGTCGGCTTAGCACCGCCACTGGGCTGGGCAGACACGGAGAGGCAAGGCACAGCCGTACAGGGAGGGAGCCGGGAGCCCGAGACTGCTCTGAACTCAGGACCGGAGGGCAGCAGGTAAGCGGTTTTGTCATCAGGAGGGGCTCAGGGTGCGCAGCTGGGAGCCTGCGTCCTCTGGGGAGGGAGAGAGAGAAGGAGAGAACACCCAGGGCTTTGGAATGGGATCCCGAGCCAGCCGAGCTGGAGGAGCTGCCTTCGGTCCCTGTGGGCAGGCTGTGCCCCTCTCCCTGTCAGGTCCTCTCCCTGTGTCTGTCTCAGGGAAGTGGAAGCTGGAAGCCAGGGGTGAGGGGAAAACAGGGTAGAGATTCTGTGCAGCTGAGCCAGCAGGCCAAATCAGCTCAGGCTCAGCAAGCTGGTTCCGCCTTGGCCCTGGGCGCCTGCCTGGGCGCCTGCAGCTGGGCTGGGACACAGAGCCCACAGGGCCCGAGAGGTCAGCAGCGTCCCTCGCAGAGGCTTCTCCTGCAGAACTCAGGCCAGCACTGGGCTGGGGCAGCTCAAGGGGGCCACGCGTCTGGCAGGCAGGCCTGCAAAATCCAACCACAGGCGGCCACCGTCGACGCGCACGCTGCCGCTCAGGAAGAGGAGGCTCTGCCTGCTTATCCAAGTCGAAGCCTATGCCACGTACTCCTATAGGGCCCGTACTACCACCTCTCGGACAGTTACATATAATCCTACATCAGGCAGCTTTAGTAATTGCAAATAAAATGTGCATCAGGCCACACAGACACTTCTTCTAGCCGTGTCCTGTAGTAGCGTGCGTTTCGGGTTTTATGCAACACTTTCAGGACTTGGGTACATAATGTGTACGTGGCAGTCAATCTCTCTATTTTAAACGTCGAATATGCAGTTTATACTTTACATTGCACTGGTCTGATAGTGTATGTTACACGTTTTGCAACAGTTTTAGAAGTTGCAAATAAAATCTATACAATTTTGCCCATAGCATGTGTTTATATAGTGTACAGTTTCATACATGCTTACACGTTGCACCCGAAATGCATTTATTACACTCACTTCAAACTAGACAGTTGTGTTATGTAAAATTACATATTACATATATTTATACGATGATTTTATAAATTTTTTTTTGGTACTGGGGATCGAACTCTGGACCTTTCGCTCGCGAGGCAGGCGGCGGAACCGCTGAGCTAAATCCCCAGCCCGATTTTATAAATTCTTTATAAAATGGATTTATAACACTCACTTCTGACTGCATATTTATATTATGTAATTTTGTATATGATGCATCTTCACACAACACAATGAGAAGTGGCAGATACAAGGCGTGCACTATACTCATTTTGGACTATATATTTTATATTCCTAGTCTATAATACTGTATATCGTATGTATATTTGTATAATGATTTTATAAGTTGTATATAAAATGCATACGATATAGTCATTTCAGACTGTATAGTTGCATCGTACAATATTGTTGATTATATATATATTCATGCAATGGTTTATAAGTTGTGTATAAAATGGACCTAGACAGTCATTTCAGACTGTATATTTATGACATGTAATATTGTATATTATACATTTTCATACAAGTATATTTATATTGTATAATACTGTATATTATACATTTTCATACACAACTAGAAGTTGCATATCCAAAGCATGTATTACACTCATTTTGGACTATCCATTTTATATTTATATTCTCTCTCTCTCTCCCTCTCTCTCTCTCTCTCTCTCTCTCTATATATATATATATATATTTTTTTTTTTTTTGGTACCGGGGATCGAACTCGGGTCCTTGTGCTTGCGCAGCAGGCGGCGAAACCACTGAGCTAAATCCCCGGCCCTCTTATATATATATATATTTATACGAGGATTTTACAAGTAGCATTTCAAATGCCCCATACGGCCATTTCCGACTATGGTTACGTTGCACGGTATGGTGCACTGCACGTATTTATACAATGATTTTACGCATTGTGTACAAGACGCACGTGCGACAGCACTTTCCGACACACGCCTAGATTACGTAGTAGTGTCCGTCACACGTTTCCAAGCATCACATATACAAGTTGCTGTACGCTTTTGGACCGCACTTTTCTACGTTGCATGGGATGCACAATGTCGCCCTAGCTAACGCTGGCGGCAGGCGTGCTGTGGCCTCCCTCCGGTCCTCATGGGCTGGAATTTTCCATGCTGACCGTGCATTCCGCCAGGTCTCCGCTGGGAAGAGTCTGGAGGTGTAACGTACACAAACATTTTCTATGGCGGAAAGTTACAGCGAGCCGGCCGAGTTTCACTGACTGTTGAAGAAAGGTTCTGTGTGTGTGTGTGTGTGTGTGTGTGTGTGTGTGTGTGTGTGTATGTGCGTGTGTTGTTTTCTTTTGCTTTATTTTCGGCACTGGATCTTGAACCCAGGGCCTTTCCACTCACCTCCACCCCCATCCTTTTTATTTTTTATTTTGAGACAGAGTCTCGCTAAGTTGCCAAGTTGCTCAGGCTGGCCTGGAACATGCAACCCTCCTGCCTCAGCCTCTCAGAGTGCTGGGCTTGCAGGCGTGCACCCTGCACACTGCACCACCCTGGGCAGTGCTACCCGGGGGTCCCCTCTGTTTCCCTGAGCCCTGGGCAGCTCCCTGCCCGCCGAGAGCCCCCCTGTACGGAGTCCTGTACTTGGGATCCACTCCATGTTGCTGCTGTACGATTTTCAGCTTAGCTGTTAGGGAAGTCTGAGGGCAGCACCCCGAGCAGCAGGTCTAGGGCGTGGGGCCCGCTGGCTCTGCTCCCGCCCAGGTGTGGCAGTGAGTCCCACCCAGCTCTGCCTGGACCTGCACGGAGACATTTACACAACACCGAGAACCCATCGGGTCGCCTTGGCCAGCAGCTCCCACATGTGGCTGTAAGGCGATGGGTGCAGAGGGGAAGGCTGCTGCAGGTCCCACCTAGAAAGCACTGGAGATTTCAAGCCCCAAATTTCATGGTGCAATCAACAAACAGAACGTAGGATGCATGCTTGTACCACAGGGAGAAAAGGTTCTGGCTGTCGTCTGCCCGGGAGTCTGCTTGTCCCCACAAGCCTGGCCTGGCGTGGCTCCATGCTGGAACTGGTCATCTCAGCAGCGGGGCGCATCCCTCACCCACGGGGGCCGGGTCCTGTGCAGCCCACCGTCCATCCATCCATGCCTTGCACAATGCTTTCTTCCAGCCCTCTGGGAGGCTGAGGCAGGAGGACTGCCAGTTCCAGCCCCGCCTGGGAAACTTGGCAACTTAGCAAGATCCTGTGTCAAAATAAAAAATAAGCCAGGCTTGGTGGCGCACGCCTGTCATCCCAGCAGTCGGGAGGCTGAGGCAGGAAGATCCCAGGGAGTTTGAGGCCACCCTGGGCTACATGGTGAGTTCAAGGCCAGCTTGAACAACACTGTGAGACCCTGTCTGAACAAAGGGGCAAGCAAACAATCAACATGGAAAAATTTAAAGAAGGGTGTCAGGGATTTAGCTCAGTGGTTCTGTCGCCTGCCTCGCAAGCACAAGGTCCCAAGTTCGATCCCCGGTACCCAAAAAAATGAAAAATAAAATAAAGAAGGGGGTGAGGGTGTAGCTCAGCGAGAAAGCCCTGGCTTCAATCCACAATACCCCCCAAATTAAAAAGCATTGAATACGTTGTCTTCCAGCCCCCTGGGGGGCAGGTGTTCAGCAACAATGTATGCCACATTTCAGAATAGCTGGGGACAGGCTTGCGGAAGTGGCGGATGTGTGACAGGAGGAACAGTCCTGGCCCTGACGGGTTCCTTACACACTGCACATGTGCATGGGAACACAGCGCTGGGTTCCTAGACACGATTCATGCAGTTAACACCCACAGGGACGCTTGAGGCTTGAATGTCTGATTTATTTCACCTAACATCAGGGTCACAAGGTGCATCCATTTTCCTACACATGACTCAAGTTTATCCTTCTTCGGGGCAGAGTAGTACTCCACTGCGCGTAAACACATTTTCTTTATCCATCCATCTGCCCATCCACATCTTAGGCGCTAATGAGACTTAGCTCCTGTGAGTTGCGCTGCTGTAAACGTGGATGTGCACGGATCGCTGCACTACAATGTCTTTAACTGCTTTTTTTAGTTTTTATTTGTATCAGTAAATGTTTGCCGTGCTTAACGCTTACCTCCCCGATGGCGAGGCAGTACCCGTACAGGACATTTCTTAATTCTTTTTCAGTCGCCCCTTCCTCCTCCGCCCCTCATCCCTGTCTTCCCACTGCACCTCCAGGAGGGGTCCCGCCTGTCCCTGATGGAGGAATCCAGGAGGAAACACATGGGGATAAGCAACTTTCTGTGCCTGCACTAGAACATCTGTGTGGATTCGAACTCCGTGCCCAGCTCTGGTGCACAAAGGCGGTCCTGTCTCCTTGTCGGTCATGGCCGCCTAGCCCGACCTGTTCCCTATCACAGTAGAGTCCACAGGGGTCACACCCGGCCCCTCGGTGCCTCCATGCACAATGACAGGGACTTCGTCTACCACGAGTTCCCACACTCACGTTCTGCTCACCTCACATCCAAGCAACCACGGCCCCCAAACAGACAAAACTGAGCCAGGGCGCTTTCCTCCTTATGAGTGATGTCAGATATTTTGTCAGGGTGAGAGGTAAATGCCAGACACCAGCTCCAGATGTCAAGGCGATGACTCTCCCTCTCCACCTCATCATCTGAGTCTCACATTCTCTTGTTGACAAGGTAGACGGTCACATTCCCATGCAGTGTGGTGATCCCCGAGGAACTACGTGCCCTCTGGACAACTATGCTCTGTAACCAGAGTTCACAACACTCCGTTCCCCTGTGATCAACAAGACTCTGTCTTCGTACGAGGCTGAATTACTAACCCGTCTGCCTTGTCCTGTTCCGGTAAACTCACTACACCACTAGAAAGACGACCCCCCCGCCCCTTCAGCTCAATGTGTAAAAACTGGAACTGTCCTCTGTCTAATCGCCCAGCCCTTTGGACTTGAGTTTGGCTGTGTCAGATGTACACTTCATAAAATCCTCCTCATGCCCGTTCAGCCACTCCTGTCCTTTGGAATTCTGCAGCAACAGCAGTCATAGCACTAACAGAAGACAAAGCAGTAGGGGAGGGAGGTGGCAGCATTGATTATATTGTTAGTAATCACAGGAGTAGTGGTAGGAATATCAATACCAGTAGCATTATTTATTTCACTCAGCATTATGGTCTCAAGGTACATCCATTTACCTACACGTGACTCAAGTTTATCCTTCTTCGTGGCAGAGTAGTACTCCACTATGTGTAAACACCACATTTTCTTTATGCATTCAGCTGCTAGTGGACATAGAGGCTGCTTCCAAGATGTAGCTATTGTGAGTTGTGCTGCTGTACACACGGGTGTGCATGGATCCCTGTGATATGATGTGTTTAATTCTTTCAGGAAGACACCTGGAAGGGGAACACCTGGGTTGAATGGAATTTCTGATTTTAGTTCTCCTGAGAACCTCCACGCTGATTTCCATAATGGTTGTCCTAGTTTACATCCCGCCAGCGATACTGAAGGGGTCCTTCTTCCCCACAGCCTCTGCAGCAGGCATTAATATTTGACTTTTGGATGCTGACCCTCCTTTCCGAGACAAAAGTCACAGGAGAGGTTTCTCTGGGGCTCACACTTTAGGGGTGGTCTTTGGTTCATGGTCGGCCAGCTTGGAAACACAACAGATAGCAGAGGGATGAGGAAGGGGAGAGAGCTGCTGGAGGTGTAGTGCTCAGGAAGGGCAGAGCTGAGGGGGGCTGGGGAGAGATATAACTTCCGGGTCATGCCTCCAGGCCCCATCTGCTCACAGGAAGTCAGCTCTGAGCCCCACAACCAAATCCCCTTCCAAAGTTCCTACCTATGGTCACACACGGCTTTGGGGGGACCTCGACATACAAACCCTAAGAGTAACACTCTTTGTAGGAAGAGGCGCGCTTTCAAGTTGAACAAACTTCAGTCCTCATCTGTACCTCTCGTTGTGATGGAGACACCTGATTGTAGGTGCATGTACAATTAAAACCTCAAACATAATGATCTTTGGAGGGTTGTTCCATGTCATTCCCCGTCCGACTTCATTTTGCCTTTTCTTTATACTCCTACCGGCTGGAGCAGGTACCAGAGATCTATGGCCCTGTCCGTACGTGTGGGGTTTGATCGAAGGTGACAACGTGACTAAGCCACTTGTCTGTGCTCTGTGGATGTGTTTGTCCTTCAGTGCTGAGGGGCTGAGTTGGCAACAGAACCCAGCATGGGCTCTGCATTAAAACCTGAACAGCTATCTTGCATTAGCTCCTGGAGCATGGAAGGGAGAGAGAGAGAGAGAGAGAGAGATTATCTAGTTACATCCTGGCTCTTTTCTCCTATAGAATGAGTTCAGTTTCTGCTCCCCATGTCCTTCTAAACACCATTATCTCTTACAGGCTGTACAAAGAGTGTGGGGCCATGCCACGTCCGGACCGTTTTGGGTAAGCCGGACGCACATACATTCTCAGTACTCCCTGTCTGCTTCTACCTTTCTTCCTGTGGCTCTCTCAGAGCCTGCTGATCATCGTGGGGTCTTGTCGAGCTGCAGGTTGGCCATGCATCCTGCATCCCTGGCATGGGATTTCTGATTCATGTGAATTTCCAGGTTCTCTGGCCATGGGGGTATCGCGGGCAAACCCATAAGGAGATATCTGATCTTCACAGCTATTTGCTGGTCCTCCACACCAGCCCTGGGTCAGGCACCCCGGTTTCTAGGAGCCATATTGAAAAATGTCTCTGGAGGGTCTGATCGTATCCTGGGGGCATCGTTCTAGGGACTGGGACTGTATTGCCCTACTGTCCAGAAGGCTGCCTGGAGTGGCCCCCAAGAAAGGAGTGGCACTGGAGGCAGCAATAGGGAAGCCACCAGCCCCCACGACAGGTCTTCCTCCAGCAACAGGACCCTGCTGCTCCGATCTCGTGTCTGCTCCCACCGTCCGCGCTGGCCCTGTTGCTCAGAAGGTGTCTCCAACACTCAAGCTCAACACAGTCTCATTACTGAGGGAGAAACTGGAGACAGCACTAGTCAGAGACCGGAAGGGGGCTGCAGGTGTTCTTGGAAAACCATCCATGCCTTCGTACGAGGCTTTTCCTTAGTCACGGGCACAGTCACTTAACAAACTCCAGGGCTCCCAACATGGTGTTGAAAATCCCCCAAAGACTAAACAGCAAAACTTATCTCTAGTTCAAAATCAGTCAATAAAACACCTGAGGGACGCACCCAGAGGTGTCCTGCAGCGCGATGATGATATTACTCAGGCCCCCTAAAAAACGATCCCCCCCCCGCCCCCGCTTACAAGCGCTGTGTCCCCGGAAGCAGGGCAGCCCTTCAGCAGCTTGTGTTTCAGGCGCTGTCTGCCCGCGGTGCTCACCTTGTTCCTGGCTGTGAAGGTTTCCACGTGCGGTGAGGGCCCCGGCTCCCGGCCCAACATCCTTCTCCTCATGGCAGACGATCTCGGCCTCGGAGATGTCGGCTGCTATGGCAACACCTCCATCAGGCAAGCACGGGAGACTTAAGCGCTTGTCTGGTTTCCCCGGCGCAGAGACCAGGAGGAGCTGGTCCAGCACCCTCGGTGCTAGGTGCCAGGTGTATCCATCCAACTCCCTCCGATGCTGGCAGGGCAGGATGGATGATGTGTGCAGAACAGGGGTGCACTTAGCTGCTGGTTCGAAAGTTGAGGAGCCTGCCAGATGCAGCTCACTTTGGTACCAACCCGCTGTGTCCACGCCTCTCCCCTCATGGTCCATCCCTGGATCCTCCGTCCCCAGGCTTTGGAGATCACGTCTGCAATGCATAAACTTCAGGAGGTGCCGAGCCATCCCATCTGTAACAGAACTCTGCACATGTGACACCCCAGCTGCCCCCGCTCATAACTACCCATTTCACATGTCCATACGATTTTCCATCCCCCAGAATGTGACCAACAATATTTTAAAAAACCACTGCTAAGCCAAAGACCAGGGCTAGGTTCTCTTAAATCTCAACTTCCCTTCCACCTAGTCTCACCCAAGCACTGAGGCAGGAATCTCAGAATTCTCCTTTATTTGGACACGTGTACGCTTCATTATCCCCAAATATACCATGCCCAGCTGGGGTGGGGGCACCTCTGTAATGCCATCATTCTAGGAGGGTGAGGCAGCAGGGTCATGTCGTGCCCAGACTCCACAGTTTAGCAACTTGGTGAGACTCTGTGTCGAGCAATAATAATAATTAATAATAATAATAAAAATGATTAAGAGTCCTGAAGGCGTAGCTCAGTGCAAACTCCCCGGGTTCAATCTCCAGTATAACAAAAGAAAATAATAATATATGCCCATCTTTCATGGGCCAAGCCATCTTCCTACCATTACCTCATGACACCTTTTCCATATTCTCATCTCTCTTGGAAAGACAGCTCATGCGCCAACCTTAAGCTACCTTCGGCTCCGTGCGCTGGGTCCTCCTCAACCACATCTCATCCTCGTGAGGACCACAGACAAACTGCTGATGTCTGTGGGATCCCGCGCCATGAAGACCATGAGATCCTCTCTATTCGGGTCCAGGGAGCCAGGGTCTGAGGAAACGATCTAGGTCCACCCCAGTCATCAACTAGAGCCCCAGAAAATTGGCCCTGTATGGGGACCCAGTGACCCTCGTGAAAACTGTCCACGAGGGAACACCGTAATTCGTGTCTATACAATGGGATCTCTTTGGGCCGGGGACCGAGGAAGAAGTGAGGTTCAACATCGCTTGTGTCTATTCCAAAGTCGACGCTCGATAACTCGTCCTTAATCAAGCTGATGTTTCCTAGAAGGTGCAAAGATACTTAAAGTTCTCACCGTCACCAAGGTCATTTCTAAGAACATGGCAAAGCATTCACTGATGAGCTGTAGATTTCGGTAGTAAGCAGTGTGTAGATGTGCTTAAGAAAATCCGGATTGATCTCTAAAAACAATGATCATTTTTCCTTTCACAGAACTCCAAACATTGACCAGCTTGCAGCAGATGGGGTGAAGCTAACCCACCACATCGCTGCAGCATCTGTGTGTACCCCGAGCAGGGCTGCTTTCCTGACCGGGAGATACCCTATCCGCTCAGGTGAGTCCTGTTTCACATCTCACTACAGGCTACACTGTTGCCCCTCAGTATGACAGGTTACATTGTAACAACTGACTGCACCAGGTTACATGGTTACAACTGGATATTACAGGTTACCTCCTTACCTACTCAGTACTACAGGTTGTATTGTTACTAGTGGACACTACAGATGCTGCTGTTACAATTGGATACTACAGGTGACATTGTTACAGCTGGATACTACATGTTACATTGTTGCAACTCAATATCATCTATAGGTTGCATTATACAACTCAATACTACTGGTTACATTGTTACAGCTCCTCACACTCTGATACTATAGGTTACATTGTTACGACTCTCCTGTGTCCTTCAGTATTTATATTGTAAAACCTTGGTTCACAAGCATAATTTGTTCTGGAAACATGCTTGTAATCCAAAGCATTTACATATCAAAGTGAATTTCCCCATGAGAAATAATGGAGGTTTAGGTGATTCATTCCGCAACCCAAAAAGTTCATATAAAAATGATTGCAATACTGTAATGTAATACAAAATAATAAAGAAAATATGAAATGTAAAGAAAAATAAATTAACCTGCACTTACCTTTGAAAAACCTTCATGCTAGTGTGAGGGAGGTAAGACAGAGGAGGGTGATTGTGTAAGATGACTTTCACTGTCACTAATACTGCTGTCTATTGGCTCAACAGAATTTTTTTCTTTTCATCCAACTTTAACAAGGCGCCTATCCTATGCCTCCCTTTGAGGATTTTGTGGAAATGTGACATTGCATTGTTGTTAAACAAATTCATCACTCGCACTGCCACAGGCTTACTCAGGTGGTGCCTTTCCACAAAATTTTGCACTGTTTCCCGCATTTTACACATCTCCCTCATTCTCATTTGAAGGGAGAGATTGCTCTGCCTTTTTCTCCTCCTCCTCTGCAGTTGAGATCTACTTCATAACCACTTGCTGTTGGGAGGTGGTCACCCACAATCCTGCAGAGAGAGAGACAGACAGACAGACAGACAGAGAGGAGAGAGAACCAGCCATTGGCTCAGTTGTGGTCATGTGACGTTCAGTGCCATGTATGACACACATTCGAGACATTGCTCATTTATCAAGTTAAAAGTTACTAGAAATGCTTGCTTGTCTCATGGAACATTTGCAGCACAAGTTACTCCCAATCCGGGGTTTGACTGCAGTGGGAAAGAGTGGTCTCATCCTACAAGTTCTCTACCACACAGCCGTCACGTAGAATTTTCTAGCTCCCTAGATATCGAGATAAACAAGTCATGGGTTGACCCAGTGATGTGAATAAATTAAAAATAGTAATAATAAAGCTAATTTGAAGCAATCTATGTTCAATTTACCTTTGAACAGTGGAGGTTTCTACTAAATATTCTAAAATTTTAAAAATTATCATCAAACCCAAAACAAGTATGCAACAGTAACTTTTTTTTTTAAATGATGGTTCAAAGGCATGATTTCCTACAATGGTTACCGTGTTCTTCAGTGGACCGGAGTCGCCGGCGGCCTCCCACCCAGCGAGATAACTTTTGCAAAAATTCTGAAAGAAAAAGGCTATACCACAGGACTAATAGGTATGTGCATTTTTAAAATTTATTAGGTGCATTGCTTTTTTTTTTTTTTTTTTTTGGTACCAGGGATCGAACTCGGGACCTTGCATTTGTGAGGCAGGTAGCGGAACCAGTGAGCTAAATCCCTGGCCCGGGTGCATTACTTTTATATGGAAAGCATATTCCACAGAAAAGTTTAGAAATACAATGGATGGAATTGTTATTTTGCAACAGAAAGAAGGGTTCTTACATATATAGATGGTTTTAGACCCCAAAGAGCAAGGTACAGAGTAGATAGTCAAGAAATACCAATGTAGGGAGCTATTCAGGGTCTCCTATGATGTTCTGACTTGTTCTGATTTCAAAACATAAAGAAATGTGACTGGGTCTGATAGCAAGAATGTATAGTCCCAGCTATTCACGAAGCTGAGGCAGGAGGATCCCTTGAGTGCAGGACTTTGAAGCCAGCCTGGACAGCATAGTAAGATAAAAATCAATCAAGCAGTAGAAACCACATGATCTTTTACCATAATTTTCCAGAACGTCATCAGATTTTCACCCAGAAATCTGGTTAGAAGGCTTACCGGCTCCCTGTCTGCTTCCATCAGTAATACACTCATTTCGCTCTATTGCAACAAAGGAATCACAGGTATTAAGCAAAAAAAAGTAAAAAAACTAAGGACACTTGTTTCTCAAGTGAGGACCACACCAGCACGACCATCATCATGTGTACGACAGTCACATTGCTCATGAAGAGCAGTCCTTGCTCATCCGGGGGCTCTCAAATCCCAGCCCCGGTGTGAGTATTTTTAAGATGAAGAGCCTGCCCTTGGGTCCTGGGGAACCCAGGTGGGACTTTCTGGGTGGCGACACCCATAGGACAACAAGAACATAGTCCGTCTATGCCTTTCTGAAGCCCTGGTGACAGATTCATCTGGCAGGAGACCCAGGCATCTTCTTTGCATGGAGCTTGAAGCTGTGGTCCATGAAACTCACCACGTCCCTGCACCATGTCCCCTCTTGCAGTGGGGGAATCAATTGTGGAGTCCAGAAGCCCTGGTCTGAGCTCTCTGGAGTAGCCAGATTGCTCTGGGGTCCCATAAGACCACGACCAGCCACCGTCACCAAGGAGATAGTAGACTGAATAACAGTCCCCGCTTACATCAGCTCTTCAGCAGCAGAAGCTGTGATAGCAGAGTGAGCTGGCCTCCATGCAGAAGTCCACGGAAACACGTGCATACCCCAAATCCTGGGATGCCTACCTCCCTTCTACAGAACAGCATAGAATTTGCACAATAACCTAAGCACACACTTTCCTGTATCTTTCAAATCACCCTAGGTGACTTATAAAACCTGACACAACGCAAATGCTATGCAATTCGCTGTCACATTCTTTATCTTCAGGAACAACAACAAGAAGAAAATGAATCTGTGGGTGCTCAATATGTTTTCTAATATTTGGGGGGCTGCAGGCCAATATTAGGGATCAAACCCAGGGCTGTAGCACTGAGCTATATCCCCAGCCCTTTTCTTGAAAAATTATTATTTTGAGGTAGAGGCCCTCGAAGGTGCCCACGATGAGCTCTAACTTTAGATCCTCCTGCCTGAGCCTTCCAAATTGCTGGGATTTCAGGCAAAGACTGTCACATCTGACTGCTTTTTTAGTATTTTCTATCTGGGCTTGGTTGGATCCAAGAATGCTAAAGCCACACGCAGGCCAGGCCAACTCTGGTGTCTTATTTAGAAAAGTGTCCGTGTCGATGTGCTTCAGTTAAGGGTTCTGATGGGGAGGAATCCCCTCGGGTCATCCAGGTGGACCTTACATGGCAGGACCGGGTCTTTTCAAGGTGGAAATTTGACGACAGAGAGAAGCTGGGGTGAGCAGGTGGGAGAGGAACAAGGTATGACAGGGCCACACCCTCCAGCCTCCAGGAGTGCAAAGGAACGGATTCCTTCTGTTCTCAGCAAACCAAGACCCTGGTAATTTGTTGCAATTCTCCTAGGAAATTATAACCTTGGTGATGGAGGTGCTTAACGCTTTGCAACCTCAAAGGCCCAGCTGGGGCGTAAGGAATGTTAGACCCCACGAATACCATTCCCAAGTCCCTTCCCAACTCAGCGTCTAGCACAGCTACTGAATATTACAGGAAACCTGTGTGGAGATTCCACAGAAATCTAAAACTAGAATTTCCATTGGATCCAGCTACTCCCCTTCTAGATACCTTCCTGAAAGAGTTAAACCCATCGTATTACAGTGATCCATGAACGAACAGGTTGATAGCAGCACAACTCACAATAGTGAAATCTTGGAAGCAGCCTGTATGTCCATCAACAGATGAATGAATAGATTGTTAAAAAGTGCTGTTTACATACAACAGAGTACTACTCTGGCCTGAAGAAGGATAAAATTGAGTCATGTGTAGGAAAATGGAGGCACCTCGAGGCCACAGTGTGAAGGGGAATTAACCAGACACACGAGCTTCCATTTCAAATGCTTTTTCTTCATGAGAAACAAAGTATAAATAAAGATCCAAATAAAAGATGCTAGGAAGAAGGGAGATAGATCTTTTGCAAATGGAAAGAGGCCAGAGAGGCAGGCGGGAGAGGAGAAGTGGGTGGGAAAAGAATCCAGAAGCACCAAGTACACACGCCAGCTCCGCCCGGGGAATCTGGTCACGACTACTGCAAATACGGGCTGATAAGATTTTTTTTTAATTTTTTAATACAATGCAGTGGCTGCCTTCTCTCGCTCCTGCAGGGAAGTGGCATTTGGGCCTCAACTGCAAGTCACCCAGCGACCACTGCCATCACCCACTCAACCACGGGTTCGACCACTTCTACGGGATGCCGTTCACCATGATGGGCGACTGCACGGGGTGGGAGCTCTCTGAAAGACGCGTCGGGCTGCAGCGCAGGCTCGACTTCTACTTCCAGGTCTTGGCCTTCGCTGCCCTCACTCTGGCAGCCGGGAAGCTCAGCCACCTGCTGCCCGTCTCCTGGGTGCCCACCCTCTCGATCACTGTCTTGGCTGCTACAGTCTTCACGACATCCTACTTCTTGGGTGACCTGCTGGTCCACGCGGACTGCTTCCTCATGAGGAACCACGTCATCACGGAGCAGCCCATGCGCTTCGAGAAAACGACCTCGCTCTTGCTGAAGGAGGCCGAGTCCTTTCTGAAAAGGTGAGCACCAGGGGCCGGCTTCGTGCTCTTGGGACAGCTGGCTGACCCAGGCTTCTTGCTCAAAAGACATTACTGGTAAAATGAGGCATGGATCCTGGCCAGCTGAGCTCAATGACTTCCGCTCTGCACATTACAACACTGAGGAAAGTCTGGTCAAATCCACTACTCTGGGGTCACCACAATTCCACGACCGACCCCAACCACCATGGGTCCTAGTTCAGCAACATCACACATAGAACCACCCCAAGAGCCTTATAATAAACTCTGGGTGTTTTTAAAGCTCTACCCTGAGGGCTGAGATGCTCTGTTGCTGACTTAAGGCTACATGTAAATCTGGATTACTGTACTAGACTGGGTAGGACTGAGTGATGCAAAGTGACACTGAACAAGAGTCAGTTGCATGCTCCTCAAGACTGGCTCAGACAACAGGGTGTATTTGTCAAGTTTCTTATTGCTGAGACATAATACCTGACACTCAGAGAGTTTGGTTTTGGCTCATGGTTTCAGAGGGTTCAGTCCATGGTCAGGTGCTCCAATGGTCTCGGGGGTTCAGTCCATGGTCGGCTGCTCCAGTGGTCTCAGGGGGTTCAGTCCATGGTCGGCTACTCCAATGGTCTCAGAGGGTTCAGTCCATGGTTGGCTGCTCCAGTGGTCTCAGGGAGTTCAGTCCATGGTCGGATGCTCCAGTGGTCTCAGGGGGTTCAGTCCATGGTCGGCTGCTCCAAGGCAAGAACATCATGGTGGAGAGGGGTGGAGGAGGAAAGACGCTCACACCGTGGTGGCCGGGAAGCAGAGATCTGGAGAAAAACCAGAGCAGAATGATGGGAAATCAAGTCAGAATTAATAACCTACCATGGCCTCCATTTAAAAGTGTGTTTTCCATAAGTATTTCACGTCCAAAAACTGAGTGTCTTAGGGTAATCTCATATACAAATAAATGTGCAATATTCACATTTTTATAAGGTAAGGTTCATTGTAAGCAACTGAATGAAACAGAGGTCAAGTCAGAGAGCAGTGTGATGTTCTTTCATGCTCAGGCTACCTAAGGAAGGAGAGATAGAAAATTGCAGTGTTGCAGGGGGTGAAAGTGTGGAAAATTAATTTGTATTTAGAAATAGATTTGAGAAAGAAAATTCATCCTTTAGTATTTTACATTAAAGAATTTTTCTTAGTAATGGAGATTGAACTCAGGGTCATTGAACTGAGCTACATCCTAGACATTTTTTTAAATTGTTTATTTTTGAGACAGATGCTTGCTAAGTTTCCCAAGTAGGACTCAAATATGAGATCCTCCTGCCTCATCCTCCCAGAGCTCTGGGATGACCGCCAGCTGTTAGATTGTTAAACATGAGACTATTACGCTACTGCAGAGGGGTTGTGTGCATTTGCACTTGGTAGGCAGAGGCAGGAAGATAGCAGAGAAGGCTGAGACTGCTTAGCTGTGTATGAAGTGTGTCCAGGGTTTCACTGAGCTAAGAGGAACTTTTCTCCCCTGTGTTCACATTGAGGAACAAGCAAGGACCGTTCCTCCTATTCGTTTCCTTCCTGCACGTCCACGCCCCTCTGATAACCGGCAAGGAGTTCCTGGGGCAGAGCCGGCACGGGCTGTACGGAGACAACGTGGAGGAGATGGATTGGATGGTAGGTCAGTGCCGGCCCCGAGGGGGCTGGGAGGCCACACCCGCAGGGGAGGAGACAGGAGAAAAATAGGGTCCTGAGAGGTTCACGGCCCGATTCCCTGTGTTAGAATAATGCTCCCAAAGACACCCATACCCGAATCCTCGTCGTCAGACACCACAGTGTCCTCCAGAGAAACCTCACTCTAACCTCCGTGTTGCTTATTTTACCCGTACAATTGAAAACCTGAAAAATAAAATCTATTAGGTCGTGGGGCGTGTGACTCAGGATATCGCTACATTTAAAAATTCTTGTCCAAGAGAAACAAAAGAAACTCCCCAAAACGGACAGAGCAAAGCAAGGAGGCAGGAATGCGTTTGACTCAAAGCTAAAGTAAGCACAGTGTTTCTGATATTAGTGATCTTACACACTTATTAAAAAACAGAGACTGAGCTGAGCACGGTGATGCACATTTTTAATCCCCGCTGCCTAGGAGGCTGAGGCAGGAGGGTGGTAAGTTCATGCTCAGCCTGGGCAGTTGATCAGGATCGTGTCTCAAAATCTAAACAATAAATTTAAAAAACTCAAAGTGGGCTGGAGTTGAAGCTCAGTACAAAGGACCTCGGTTCACTCTTTGTATTGAACATAGAAGGCACACCGCTGGGGACTTAGCTCAGTGGCATGGCGCCTGCCTCAAAAGTGCAAGGTCCTGAGTTCAATACCCGGTACCAAAAAAAAAAAAAAAGAAAATAGAAGGCACAGACTTACATAGTGACAGTTTTAGCAAAAGCACGACCAAGCCAAAAGAATCGCCTGCCTCCTAAATTGCCCGAGCTGGGCTGGGACTTGTTCTCTGCCTAACTCAGCCTCCCGGAGTGCTGGGCTGACAGGCCCAGGCTTCTGTCTTGGGTCCGCTCCGATGTCCATGTGGTGCGCAGGTCGGATCCTGGGGTGTCTGGAGGAGGAAGGGCTGAGCGACAGCACGCTGGTGTATTTCACGTCAGACCACGGCGGCTCCCTGGAGTCCCAGCTCGGAAGCCACCAGTACGGAGGATGGAATGGGATCTACAAAGGTGAGACTGGGTTTCCCGAGGTCTGCTCCCCCCAGTTTAGCTTTGTGCCACGATTCCCACCCCCAGAATCCGCAAAGACTGCAGCCTGCATGATTCGGGGTAGAGATCATTATGTGTCGAACTCCGGTTTGAAATTTCTCTTTATTCTTTTCTTTCCTTCCTTCCTTCCTTCCTTCCTTCCTTCCTTCCTTCCTTCCTTCCCTCCTTCCTTCCTTCCCTTTGCTTCTTTCTTCCACAGGCAGCTGTCCTTGTAGACACTGAGCTGTGCACCCAGCTCTGCTCTTGACTTCAGAACATGCTGCCCTCATCACTAATGAACCCCATTCCAGCCTTGGAGGACCACCAACCCATTTTCTACCTCTGAGTATCCCCCATCCACACATCTGACATCAGTGGCACCATGGACTGTGGGTCCTTGTACGTGTGACTTCTCCCACTGACCATTTTCTGTTTCAAGTTTTTCTACATTGAGACAGATGTTACAATTCCATCCCTTTTCAGGGCTGAGTAATATTCCACAATAGGAGTGGACCACTTTCTGTTTATCTAGTCATCTGTTGTCCTCAGCTCCCTCCACGGGCTCCCAGGGAGACCCTCCTGCCTCTGCCACCTCCTGGGGCTCCAGGCAGCCCTGGGCTGCGGCCCCCTCACTGCAGTCTCTGCCTCCATCTCCACGCAGCTTCTGCTCTTTCTGCTTCTCTTCCTCTGCCTCTCGTGAGGACGCTGCTATTGGATTCAGGGCCACCCCGACCCCAGATGGCCTCGTCTGCAGATCCTGCTCCGATTCCCTCTGCAGGGACCCTGTTTCCACTCAGGCCCCGTCCCAGGTCCCAGGGTCACAACGTGGACAGAGCTGTGTGAAGCAGAGAGCGACGGGAAGAGAGGACCCGAGAATGAGCAGGCAGCTGAAGGCCCCAGGAGCAGCCCCTTCCCATCTCCAATCACCTTGTTTTCTGTTTCTGCTTCCACGCAGGGGGCAAAGGCATGGGGGGCTGGGAGGGCGGCATCCGGGTCCCCGGGCTCTTCCGCTGGCCCGGGGTGCTGCCCGCCGGCCGAGTGATCCGCGAGCCCACCAGCCTCATGGACATCTTCCCCACCGTGGTGGAGCTGGCGGGCGGCCAGGTGCCCCGGGACAGGTAGGCACGGCGGCCCCTCCCCGCCCTGTGACATTTCTGTATCTTCAGGCCCCGTGTCCCTGCATTGCTGACGCTCCCAGGTTGGGCTGGAGCTAGAGAGCCTCCTGCCTCAGCCTCCCGGAGGACAGGGACGTCAGCCGTGCACCACCACACCCACCTTACATGCAACCAAACCAGAAAGACAACTTCTGCCCTTTTCACAAAACGACCCTCCGTACCGCGGCTTTGCGGTCATGGAGTCAGGATCTTGGGGAGGAAAAAACTATCAGACCCTGTGATTTCTACCGGGTTAAACGCCCGCTTTGTCCTTTGACCCAGGGACCTGTTTCTCTTCTCCTGATTCTCCCGTGGGGCACATTTTCTCATGAGCAGGGTGCTGGCCCTGACAGTTCCAGCAGGCAGTGCCAAGAAAGCGCTTGGCTGGATCCGCCTGGGCAGGAAACGGTCACAGCGCTTGATTTTATTGGACATTTACAAGGAACAGACAACAATATTTCCTCATAACCGTGCATGCCCGGAGCTGAACGCAAAATTAAGCTGTGTGAGATAAATACGTGCACACATTTAAACCCACGTGCACGCGTGGATCTGTAGATCACACATCATGTACTCCATTGCATGAGACACACGTACGCATGAATATGGTCAAGTGAATCTCGTGCCATGTGACCATGTGACCATGTGTTGTCTATGCCTGATGTGCAGCGTGTCATCGAGTGAATGCTAGAAATCTATGTTCTAAAATTTATTAGAAGGCTGGGGTGAACAAACATTTCAGCGGCTTTGGAAGTTTTTTTTCTAATACCTCATTATAGCTGGACATTATCTTTGCTTTAAAAAACCCAAACAAAAGAAAGAACCTGATGTCCTGCATTTCCCACATAACCTGATTCTTCCCTTAGTGAAAATTCAAGTTTGGAAGTTGAATGGTGGAGCCCAAACTGCCCGTTTACAGACCAATCTGTGTAGCTTTTTTCTTCTCTCTGTTGAGTTTTGTTCCTGTTGCTGTTATTGTTCTGTAGTGCTAGGGGTGGAACCAGGGCTTTCACAATGGGGTGCATTTCCAGCACTTTTTCATTTCATAAGTTACCCAGGCTGGGTTTGAACTTTAGACCCTCCTGCCTCAGCCTCCTAGAGTGCTTGGGTGATGGGTGTGCACCCTCACACCCAGCTTTATAGTTAAATTTCTTTTTTTTTTTTTTGTACAGGGGATCGAACTCGGGTCCTTGTGCTTGCGCAGCAGGCGGCGAAACCACTGAGCTAAATGCCCGGCCCTAAATTTCTTAATAGATGTCCAATTTTCCCTAGGTATTGCAATCGGCCACATATGATGGTGTGTGTATTAAAAACAAAACACCTAGATTCATCTCAAATCGTTCATGTATAACACGCACACGCGTGCACATGCAGGGACATGTGTGTGTGTAATCCATGTATCTCTCTACACAGGCGTCTGTCACCGTTCCCATCGATTTCTCTGTAGAAAAGTTGAAAGTTTCATACGCTGCTTTGCTGCTTCTCCTGTTTTCCCTTATTTACACATCTCGGGTTCTTGAATGTTTTTGTAGGAGGCCGTTGTGTTTTCACTGTTATCTATAGCATCTCATGTTTTAGGGGGCAGATTTTTTTCCGCGTGTATTTAGCAAATGTGATCCATGAGGACGTGAAATAAATTCAGCCTTGCACTGTTGGTTGGAGATACATATATATATTTTGAGAGAGAGAGATGTGTATGTATGTATGTGTATATATATATATACATACATACACATGTATTTACACATGTGTATAATACACATATCTGTATACACACACACATATATATCAGCACTTACGTACTTGTGTGTACGTGAACAATTATACATGGCTGTCATATAGAAGACATACCTATCATATATGTATATACAGAGAGAAATATATCGTATGCATGCAGAAGGCACATCATACTTACACAGAGAGAGAGAGAGAGAGATGAGAAGACTTTTAAAAAACGGTTTGTTTATACAGTATCACCGAGCAACCCACATGTACTTGGGCTTCTGAATTCTCTGTCGTGGCTGAGAACGTTTATCCAACTAGAAAAAAAGATTCCCACCTCATTGCTCTTCTGAATTCGTACGGTTTGTTCAAGGCCTTGAGTTCGAGGCCACCCTGGACTGTGTGCAGAGACCCCTGTTCCGGATCTTCCCCTTCAGGAGCGAAGCCGCGTTCTGGGGGTGACCAGCTCCCGACGGCACAGGGCGCTGTGCAGCTGCCACGCGGGCCCGCGAAAATATGAACTGAGAAACCCTGACATCGCTAAAAGGCGTAGAATGACCAGCGCAGGGGGGGTGAGCCCGGCCCGGCCCTGCCGTGGCTTGCACTCGCCTCCCGGCCGAGCCTGAGCCTTGCTGTCCCCGCAGGGCCATCGACGGCCAGGACCTGTGGCCCCTGCTCCTGGGATCCACGCCCCACAAGCACCTGCTGCCGCACCACGAGGTCCTCTTCCACTACTGCGAGCACCTGCTGCATGCGGCCCGGTGGCACCAACGTGACCGTGAGTAGGGACACGGCCCCTGTCCAACCCCGCACCCCAGGGAGCACACCGGCCGCCCCGGCATTGGCATTCCGGGAGGCTGAGGCAGGGGGATCCCAAGTTGGCACTGAGAACACAGCAGTGAGGGACCGAGCAGACGCTGAACAGCGACACTGCACCAGTGTCTTCTTTATGCGTCTGCTCACCTCTCTTGGGGCTTCCTCCCGGCACCTGCAGCGTGACTGGGTGCTTGTCACTCACGCGCGTGTGGGTCGGGGGTCTGGGAGTCAGTCAATGAGCGCGATGCACCCTGAGCCCGATGGCAGAGCACCCCCCGCCCTCTCGGGCTTCTGTTTTCCATAAGCGGCCGTGGTCACTTCTGTGGTCACCGCGTTATTGAGACGCAGCGGACATTCCATGCCATTGGCTATTTCCACTCACGCAGCTGAAGGCTTGCAGGACATTCCCCTGATCCCCAGAGGACACCCCATCCCCTCCCCTGCCAACCAGCACTGCACTTCCTGTCTGTCTCCTTGCCTGTTCTGGTATATCCATGGAGCCTCGCACTCTGTCCTTTTGTGTCTGAGCACCACGTCCTCAACTTCCCTCTACATGACAGCAGGTAGCGGCTTCCTTTTCTTTTTCCTGGCTGTATGATATTCCACAGCACGGCCGGACCTCACTCACCCATCCATTCACGCGTGGACGGTCACTTGTGGTGCTTCCGTGTTTTGGTGTCTGTGACTTACACCTCTCTCCTGCGGCTTCGTGCCAACTCTGTGACTCCACCCCCGCCCCCCAGGAGGAAGAGTGTGGAAAGTCCACTACATGACGCCCATCTTCCAGCCCGAGGGAGCAGGCGCCTGCTACGGGAGACAGGTCTGCCCGTGCTCGGGGGAAAACGTGACCACGCACGACCCGCCTCTGCTCTTTGACCTTACGCGAGACCCAGGCGAGCGGCAGGCGCTCACGCCCGACACGGAGCCCGAGTTCCACGCAGTGGTCAGCAGGGTCCAGCGGGAGGTGGACAGGCACCGGCAGGGCCTGTTGCGCTCGGTCTTCCAGCAGCTGGGCACCTACCTGAACACCTGGCGGCCGTGGCTGCAGCCCTGCTGCGGCACCTTTCCGCTCTGCTGGTGCTGTCCGGAGGACGAGCCCCGGGAAGACCCCCAGTAGCACAAAGCTCAGACCCGTGCCTCGCGCTGCTGTCTCACCCCGTCGGGCCTGCCCGGGGCTGGGCACGCACTGGCAGAAGGACGAATGCTGCCTCCCATTGAAATAGAATGAGCTAAAAGGACCTGAATTGCACAGCTCACACTCAATAAAATGCACCCTGCAGCGCTCACCGAGGTGTGGTGCTCAACAGTCCAGTCCGGGGCCGACCGGGGTTTGGTCAAAGCCCCCGGCCGTAACTGCAGCAGGCTGCTCTGTACCCAAAGTCCGCACCAGCCCCACCAGAAAGTTTGGAGGTCACCCAGATTGATGGGAGACAGCAGGCAAGCCGGGGCTGCCGTGGAGAAGCTGCCACAGACAAGGCTCAGTTGGCTTCCACTTCTGTGGGGTCAGCAAGGCGTGCAGCCCTTCCCACGGGCGCGATGTCCAAGCAGGTCCCCCTCAGCTACAGCCCAGGGGATTCAGGAAAACCCCAACAGAAGCAGGCTCCAAGCACTGGGTTGAAGGATCGCTAGGTCCCGGTCCATCGGGGCTGCCACACGCACTCCGGCTGACAGACAGCAGGGCTTGGTGCCCAGTCCTGGAGGCTGAGGTCCACTGCACTGGTCTCTCCCTGTCTCAGTCCATCAGGGCCGCCATATGCAATCCCACAGCCCGGGCGGCTGGCAGACAACAGGGCTTGGTGCCCAGTCCTGGAGGCTGAGGTCCACTGCACTGGTCTCTCCCTGTCTCAGTCCATCGGGGCCGCCATATGCAATCCCACAGCCCAGGCGGCTGGCACACAGCAGGGCTTGGTGCTCAGTCCTAGAGGCTGAGGTCCGAGGTCTGGGCGTGGCAGCGCCCGCTCCTCTGAGGGCTCACTCCTGGGCTCCCTGTGTCCTCACTCGTGCGTCCCTCTGTGTGTGTCCGCGTCTTCCCGTCCTCTTCTCAGAAGGACCCAGCCCTGGGCTCAGGGCCACCCTGGGGACTCAGTTTACCTTCACGCCTCTTTAAGGCCCCGGCTCCACACAGCTGCATGGAGAGTTAAGGCTTCCACCCCGGAAGCTGAGAGCTTAATGCAACGCAGCCCAGAAAGCTTTCTGTGCTGGGATTTTGCAGCTCTGCTCTCTGCCTGGGGTTCACTCAGCAGCTCCTGGGGGCGAGGAAGCAGCACCCCAAGTCGAGCACTTCTGGCCCCAGTCCACTCCCCAACCATTGTGGGTTACGGAAAGAAATGCAGCTGCTCACCGTGGGACCCCAGTCTCCTGCCAATCTCTGCCTCAAGGCAGAGGCAGCTCCGCAGCAAATCACATTGCCGGGTCTTTTCCCTCCCCTGCAGACCCCTCCACAGCAGCAGTGGAGTTTGCCTGTTTGATTTTGATTTGTTTTTTGAGATAGGGCCTCACCATGTAGCCCAGGCTGACCTCGAACTCATGGGCATCCTCCTGACTCAGCCTCCCGCATCCTCGGATATCAGGGGTGCACCACCACGCCCGGCAGTAAATATATGTTCAATCCAGGTTATTTTGGGCTTCAGAGTACATCCCCATCTATACCTGACACACACCTGTCAATCCATCCGTATTAATATAACGAAGACATCCACAGCCCTTGCAGCTAAAATCAATCAACAAACTTGTCAAGACAAAGCAAGGAGTGTTAGGGTCAGGGAGGTCAGGCTAAACTACAGGCGGCTGTGCTCGGATAGGACGCTTGGATTTTATGGGACAGGAGACGTAATGCGATTAAGTCAAGCAGTGAAGCCATCCAGTGATTAGTGCAGGATTTTTACTTCACTGAGCTGCGCTTTTATCTTCTGGGGTCAGCTTTGCAGCACACGGTGTTGTTTACACGCCACGTGTGCAGCTGGATGCACCTTTCACCTCCTGCTCCTCATCCTAGGCCCCCAATCTGGGTTTTCGCCTCCCCTGTGAGAAGGCTCTGTCTCCCCCTGGCTGCCGCCTGTCTTAACTCCTCTCCCCGTGTGCGTTCCGGGTTGCTCGAGAAGAGAAACCCTGCAGCCTCGGAGCTTCGGGGTCTGACGTTTTCCCTCGGTGTCACCGTGCAGTCGGCCGTGCCGGGTGGACACCGGAGCCTCCCCTGCCATTGTGGGGGACTCGGAGAAAGAACGGTGCAGAGTCACCCTGATCGCCAGGGGGAGCCCAGGAGGAGCCAGAAGATGACTGCTCAGGCGTGCAGAGGGAGGACAGGGGTGAAGAGCAGGACTGGAACAAGCCGCCCGTCTGTCGGGGAGAATTCAGGTTTGCTTTTGCAAGGGCTGGAGAAGGAGGAGCGAGGTGGACACGACAAATATAACTTTTTCTGGATTCCTCAGGCCCTTGCGGGTCTTCCGTGGACAGCTGCGTGGCGTCTGCAGTCTTAGGAGGAAGCTGAGTTGGACAGAGCCCACTCGGGCGGCCGGGCCGGGCCAGGCCGGATTTCCACATAGCAGCCAGCTGGGGACCCCAGGGCGCTTCCTGCAGCTGAAGCTGCACTGCACCTTGGTGAATTCCAGGACAGTTTCATTTGGTTCAAAATAAATTACAGACCTGATTTGGAAAGGTCAAAATAAAACCCTCCGCAGCAGAAAAATGGCCAGCGGGACACGCACATGCCTCGTGGCCTGAGCCTGTAGTTGTGTTTGATCGATTTCTTCTCAGGAGCCTGGGGCGCAGCTCCCCCCGGCCACATCCCTGGGGTTGTGGGTGCTCCTTGCCTACCCCGTTCCCTTTCCCTCCCCTCCCTGTGTCTCTTGGTCCCCTTGCGTCCTTCCGATCTCCCTGGTCCCCAGGATGCCTTTCATTTTGCCATTTAATTTATTTGTCCTTTGGGGCCTAACAGGCCCCGGGTCCCGGGTGACTCCAGTCGCACAGCTGTGCCCCTCGGATCTCGCACCTGGTGTCCCTGCCGGCTGAGGTGGTCCCAGGACCTTGGGGATTTGGAGCAGTGGGGCCCCGGGCCGCGGGCTTCCTCGAGGCAGGCGGGGTGCTTGGTCTCACAGGGCTCAGACTAATCCGGATTAGATGGATCGGCCCCCAGGAGAACCTGTTTTCCCAGCGGGGCTCCCCAGGGCCCGGCTCAGGGCTGACAGCGTAGGGGGGCAGGGCCCACGCCCAGCCACCTTCTGGCCAGGGAGGACAGGAGAAAAGAGGAAGCCAGGCCCGCCCGGGGCCAGGTCCTGCAGAGCTCACAGCCGCCCAGGCCGGGCCACCCAGGTGCGTGGGACCCGGGCTGGGGATCCGACTGCAGCAGGCCCGGGGCAGGGCGGGCTCCGCACGGGGAGGGGAGCCCAGGGCAGCGGGGTCCCTGCAGGAGAGGGCCAGGAAATGCAGGCTCGGCGCACACCCTGGAAGCACACTCCTAACCCCAAGGCCAGGGTCGCCCTGCGTTTCGTTGATCTGTTTTGAGACAGGGTCTGGCTATGTGGTCCAGGCTGGCACCAACCTCGGGGAGACTGTCCAGTCTCAGCCTCCCTCCCGGGGGCCGGGCCGGGTGGGGTGCACACCACCCCCACCAGCACCTCCGTAGCAGGCTGCGTCTCCCCCAACTCCCCCGAGAGGACCCCTACTTCCCGTACCCCCAGTCAGGACTGTGGCCCCCAAACACGAAGGAACCCCCCTCCCCAACACACCCCTGAACCCCCCTTGCCCTCCGGTCTCGCTGGGGCTGTGTCTCCTGCAGGGCTGAGCACCCCGGCCCCAGCCTGGGGACCCCGAAACTCAAGACCCGCCCCTGGGCCCCCAAGCCTACCCCAGGCCTCCGCCCTCCCAAGGCAGCCCGTGCGTGACGCCCCTCTGGCCCCCAAAGACGCCCGGACAGGCCAGGAGCCCAAGTTCGAGGCCACTACGCCTCTCACCACAGGAAAGGGGAGGCCCAGGTTGCCCCCATTGGGTTCGGTATTGGCTGGGAGTCAAAAGACGTGATACACCAGCGTGCTCATTAACCACGTTTTATTTTATTAAGTTTTAAAAGTTGTCTTTAGTTTGCGGGACGAGGTCTCCCTGTGAATCGTTCGGGCTAGGCCCGAACTCACTATGGAGCCCAGGCTGGCACTGACTTCACAGCGAGGGTCCTCCTGCTTCAGCCTCCACCACCACGCCCGGCTCATTGATCACATTTCAGTTCAGCAGTGGAAATTGATGCGGTGTGATCACAAAATACGGTGATTGAGTAACTGAAGACAATGTATTACAGGAAGAGAGGCTGCCGGGTCGACGACGTGCTTTGCACACCTCAAGGATGAGACACCAGCCGAATGCCAGGAAGTCCGAGCAAAGCCGATTTGAAGTGTGAGTGCGTATTTCTGTCTTTTGATGGAAACAAGAGTGCTGGGCAGGGACATCAAAATACTTGGTGAATGTTTAAATTTAAGAAGCTTTTACCTTGAAAGCCACCTGGCCACAAATCCCCCTCGGAATTCCCCCGGCTGTGCCCACCGTCCTCCCACCCTCCGGGCCGCTTCCTGCAGCGGCTCTGGGGTCTTCTTTCCCGAGGGCCTCTAGGAAATGTCATAAATGCAGGGGGGGAGACCCAGAAATAACAAAACACAGACAGATGGTTCCATAGTTACAACAGTCCTGCTTTTACTCCGTGAGATTTTTTTCAATATTTATTTTTATTGGTCCATATTTTCAGTCCATTATGTTACATTCCTGGCCAAGAGTTGCCCCATGCACCAAATAGGACTTCGTTTTCATCCCTTCCCTTCCTCTCCCTCTTCACCTGTCCTTCCCTTTTCGAGAAGATCTACCACCTGTTTCCTTTTATCTAGCTTGTGTTTTGCTTTTTCAATTTATTTGTACTCTGGGCTCCTCAGATAAGGGAAACCACATGATATTGAAGTTGGCGTATCTGATTATGAGTTCCTGAGTTTTAGTCACTCAGTATTCAAAAATATGAATTGGAAAATTCGAGAAATAAATAATCAGTTTTAAGTGACCATTATGACAGTATACTGTCATGATTGATTGTTTTACTTTATATTATTAATTATTGTTGTCAATGAGAACTAGCGTTACATTGATGAAAAGTTGGGTGGGTGGGTGGATGGG